CCCCCAATGTCCCAAATGTCCCCATCCCCCAATGTCCCCAATGCCCCATCCTCCAATGCCCCCATCCCCACAATGTCCCCAATGTCTCCAATGTCGCCAATCCCCCAATGTCCCCAATGTCCCCAACACCCCCCGTTTCCCTCCCTGTCCCCAGTGTCTGCACAGTGTCACTCACAGGTGGCTCAGGGTCTCCAGCCCCTGGAAGAGCCCCTGAGGCAGCGTCTCCAGGCGGTTGTTGGCCAAACTCCTGTGGGGACGTTGGGGGAACACTGGGGACATTGGGGACATTGAGGGGGACATAGGGAGAACATTGTGGGGTTTGGAGGGCTTGGGGACACCTGGGGGCACTTGGGGACATTGGGGACAGCTGGGGACAGGGAAATGGGGGCATCTGGGGACACCGGCGACATATGGGGACATGGGGGCAGGGACACAGGGACAGGAACATGGGGACACCTGGGGACACTTGGGGACACCTGGGGATATTTGGGGACATGGGGACACCTGGGGACAGGAACATGGGGACATTTGGGGACATCTGGGGACATGAGGACACCTGGGGATATTTGGGGACACCCTAATGTCCCCAATCCCCCCCAATGTGCCCCATGTCCCCCAAGTGTCCCCAGTGTCACTCACAGGAACAGGAGCCCCCGGAGGCCCCGCAGTGCGGTGGGTTCGATGGTCCCAACCTCGTTGTCCTCGATGAACCTGCGGCACCAGTTCACACCAGTTTGCACCAGTTCATACCAGTTCTCACCAGTTCACACAAGTTCAACTCAGTATCCCCCCACCCAGTACAGCCCAGTCCCTCCCCATTGTTCCCCCAGTTCCTCCCAGCACAGCCCACTTTATCCCAGTCCACCCTAGTCCCTCCCCACTGTCTCCCCAGTCCAGCCCAGTCCCTCCCCAGTGTCTCCCCAGTCCAGCCCAGTCCCTCCTCAATGTCTCTCCAGTTCCTCCCAGTACAGCCCAGTTCAGACCACTCCCTCCTCAGTGTCCCCCCAGTTCCACCCCAGTCCCTTCCAGTCCATTCCCAGTGCCCTCCCAATCCCCTCTCAGTCCCCCTCAGTCCCTTCCAGTCCCTCTCACAGGTACTCCAGTAACACCAGTCCAGCAAAGGCCCCGTCCCCGATGGTCCCCAAGCTCCCAGCGGTGACCAACCTGTGGGGACACCCCAGGGACACTCTGAGGACACTTTGGGGCTATTTAGGGCCAATGAGGAGATATTTGGGGCCATTTAAGGACTCTTGGGAACACCTTGGGGACATATGTGGACATTTTGGGATCACTTTAGGGACACTTTGGGACCATTTGGGGACTACTGGGAACACCTTGGGGACATTTGGGGACATTGAGATAACATTTGGGGACACTCTGAAGACATTTGGGGACATTTGGAGACCCTTTGGGGACACACTGGGGACACTGAGGGGATCTTGGGGATGTCCTGGGGATATCTGGGGACATAGAGGTGACATTTGGGGACATTTGGTGATACTTTAGGGCCATTTGGGGCCATTGGTGACACTTTCGGGACATTTTGGGGACACTGAAGACATTTTGGGGACACAGAGGTAACATTTGGGGACACATTGGGGACATCGGGGGACATTTGGAGACACTTGGGGACACGTTGGGGACAGATTGGGGACACTGGCATGACATTTGGGGCCATTTGTGGACACTTTGAGGACATTGGGGTCACTCACAGCAGCTGCAGGGTCGGGGTGTGGCGGAAGCTGCCCTCGGTCAGGACCTCGATGTGCCACCGAACCAGTGACCTGGGGGAACCGGGTGAACTGGGAGGGACTGGGAAGGCATTGGGGAAGACTGGGAGGACCGAACTGGGATAAACTGGGGACACAGGGGTCAAACTGGGCTGAACTGAGAGAAAGCAGGAACAACTTGGGCCAAACTGGAGTCAAACTGGGCTAAATTGGGGTAAACTGAGGCAAAACTGGGAGAAACTAGGACCAAACTCCACTAAACTGGTCCAAGTCAGTCCTAAACTGGGAGAAACTGGAGCTAAACTGGGCCGAATCAGTATCTGACTGGGCCATACTCATCCCAGCCACCCCTAAACCGGTACTAAACTGGTCTCAACCAGCCACAACCTGGACCCAGCCCCGCCCATCCCGTGCAGGGGGCGTGGTTTCGAATGATGACGTCATAAGATGGGCGGGGCCTCATTGGGGGGTCCGTGGGAGTCCCCACTGAGGGCTCACGGAAGGGGTTCAGGGGGTACCCGAAAAGCAGGAGGTCAAAGGGGAGGTCCGGAAGGGGGTTTCCCATGGGGGAGGTCGTTTTGGGGGGTCCCAGGGGTATTTTTTTTGGGGGGGGGTTCCTAAAAGGGGGGAAGAGGGGTACCCAAGAGGGGAGGGATCGCCGGGGAGTTTCTGGGGGGTCCGCAAGGAGAAGTCGCGGGAAGGTTCTGGGGGGGTCCCCAAAGGGGGGGGTCGTGGGGGAGACTCAGGAGGGGCACCACATTTGAGGGGGTCCCAAGGGGAGGAGGGGATAAAAGGGGGGTCCTCAAAGTGGGGGGTCCCCAAATTGGAGGGGGGGGGCACTCACAGTGTGGCCCGGGGGGGGGGGGGCCCCCGGGGGACCCCCCCGCCCCCCCCCCGGCACAGGGCGCTCTCTCGGTCGCACTCGCAGCCCCCCGGGCAGCCGCCGCCGCCCCGGAGGGGTGCCCCAAACCCCCCCCCCCCCCACAGGGGCCCCCCCCCAAGGACCCTCCCCACCCCCAGCAACACCAGCAGCACCAGCACGGCCCCCTCCGCCCCCATGGAGCCCCTCCAAATAGCCCCCCCAAAAGATGCCCCCAAAATGATTGCCCAAAACTGGCCCCCCCCAAAGCCCCCCCTAAAATTGCCCCCTCAGAAACTGCCCCCCCAAAAGAACCCCCTACAACTGCGCTCCGAAACTCCCCTCCCCGAACTGACTCCCCGCAAAAAAATCCCAAATCTTCCCGCCCTCTACCCCCTTTCCCTACCCCCCCCGAAACTCCCCGCCCCCGAAGTGACCCCCCCCCCAAGAGACCTCCCCCTAAATCTGCCCCCGAAACTTCCACCCTCGAAGTGACCCACCCAGAAGACCACCCTAAAACTTACGCCCCAAAAGCCCCCTAAATCTGACCCCCAAAAACTCCTCCCCGAACCCACCCCGCAAAAAAACCCCTAAATCTGCCCCCCAAAACCGCCCCCCCGATCCGACCCCGCCCAAAAGACCTCCTAAATCTCCCCCTCTAAAACCCCCCTAAATCTTCCTCCCTAAAAGCCCCCTAAACCTTCACTCCCCAAAACCTGCCCCGTCCCAGACTGACCCCCGCTCTCCGCCCTCCCCGCTCCCCCTTCACCGGCCCCCCCGACGCCCCCTCCCCCAATAAAAGCCCCCCAAATCGGGGTCCCCCCCGCCCCCCGGGCTCGGCTGCGGCTCTCACGGTGGCGGGCGGGTGGGCGGGGCTTATGAGTGATGAACACGCCCATCCGTGTCTGGTCACGCCCAGACAGCGGTGGCCACGCCCCCTCCCAATACAAAGGGGCCGCTGTTGGTCCCTGGCCTGGGGCCACTGGGGACAGAGCGGGCCTTGTACTGGGAGCACTGGGAGGGACTGGGGGGGCTCCCAGGCGGCAGGGGAGGGGACTAGGAGCACTGGGAGGAGCTGGGGGGCTCCCAAGGGGGACTGTGGAGGCAGCTGGGAGCACTGGGAGGTAACTGGGTGGAGCTGGGAGGGACTGGGTGGAGGCAACTGGGAGCAGTACTGGGAGGGACTGGAGGTTACTGGGGAGCTCTAGGGGGGACTGCGAGACACTGGGAGTCAACTGCGGGGAGCTGGGAGTTACTGGGAGTGGTACTGGAGAGGGACTGGAGGTTATTGGGAGCACTGAGAGGGACTGGGGGGCTCTGAGGGAGGTCTGGGAGGCAACTGGTGGGTGCTGGGAAATCACAGGGATGCAACTGGCAGTCACTGGGAAGGACTGGGTGCTACTGATGGTGGTATTGGGAGGTACTGGAAAGAACTGGAGGTTAATAGGAGCCTTGAGTGGGACTGTGGGGCTCTGAGAAGGGACTGGGTGGGGGCAGGGGAAGACACTGAGAGTCAACGGGGAGCACTGGGAGGCAACTGGGGGATGCTGGGAGTTACTGGGAGTGGTATGGGAAAGGTGCTGGGAGAGACTGGGAGCACTGGGAGGGACTGGAGGCTCTGAAGTGGGACTGGGAGACACTGGATGGCAACTGGTGGTGCTGGGAAGTCACTGGGAGGCAACTGGGGGTACTGGGAGTGGTACTGGAAGGGACTGGAGGTTACTAAAAGCACTGGGAGGGACTGGGGGACTCCCAGGGAGGACCGAGGAGGTGGGAGGAGGCAACTGGGAGCACTGGGAGGCAACTGGGTGCAGCTGGGAGTTACTGGGAGTGGTACTGGGGAGGGACTGGAGGTTACTGGGAGCATTGGGAGGGACTGGGGGGCTCTGAGGGGGGACTGGGAGGTGCTGGGAGTTACTGAGACAGGTACTGAGGAAGGGACTGGGATGGACTGGAGGTTACTGGGAGCATTGGGAGGGACTTCGGGGCTCCCAGGGGGGACTGGAAGAAACTAGGAGGCAACTGGGAGGTGCTGGGGGGCACTGGGAGGCAAGTGGGGGGATGTGGGAGTTACTTGGAGTGGTACTGGGAGTCAACTGGAGGTTACTGGGAGAGTTACTGGGAAGAACCAGAAGTCAACTGGTGGGTGCTGAAGGCAACTGGGAAGCACTGGAAGGTGCTGGGGAGGAACTGGGAGAAACTAGGAGGCAACTGAGAGACACTGGAGGTTACTGGGAGACAACTGGGGGGCAGTGGGGAGAAAATGGTAGCTACTATGGGCAACTGGGAGACGCTGGAGGTTACTGGTGGGCACTGGAGAGTTACTAGGAGGCGCTAGGGAGTTGCTCAGGGGCAACTGGGGACTCTGGTTGCTACTGGAAAAGGTAACTGAGAGGCCTTGGAGGTTACTGGGAGGGACTGGAGGGCTCTGAGCGGGGACTGGGGAAGGGTGGGGAAAGTTATTGGGAGCACTGGGAGGCAACTGGGGGCCCTGAGAGTTGCTGGGAGGCAACTGGGGGCCGCTGGAAATTACTGGGAAAGGTAGTGGGACACTGGTATTACTGGGGTGGGGGATCACTGGGAGCTGCTGGTGAAGTCACTGAGGACTAAGGAGAGGCCCTGGGCTTACTGGGGGTTTACTGGGAGGGTCACTGGGAGCTACTGGTGAGCACTGGGGGTTACTGGTGAAACAAAGAATTAACACCGAGATTTGATCAGTGTTAAGTGGCAAATCTCTATTGCAAGCACTGGGTCGCACTGAGGATAAATCCTTCCATAAGTGCTCTGACGACCAGTTGATTACTAAACTTTATATTCATCTTGTCTCAGAAATATTTTACATAAACACACCCATTGATCAGTGTTACAATTTACAGTGTTTTGCTGCCATCTACAATCCTTTTGCAAGAAATACAGTCCCTCTGATGGTCATTTGGTGGTCGTTTTTCATAGTCTTCCTCACTCGGCACATGCTCAAGGTCTATTGTCTCGTTTCCAAACCTCGAAACACATTCTTTGTTTTTGGATGGGTAGATTCACAGCCTTGGAGTCTGGTTTCTGACTGGTTACTCCTTTTAAATGATACAAAAATGTTATCTACATAATTTCTACTTACAAAATTGTATTTCTTATCTAAAGGTAATAGGGTTCTCAGGCAAGCAAAAATATTTATCAGCATTATTTTATCAGGCGAATTTCTCAGGCTAACTAAGCTAAAATATTTTAAAGTGTTAACAGTTCCTTTTGTAGCAAAGCCTCCACCCGCAGGGCACACACACCAGGCCCTGCCTGGGGCTGCCACGCAGGGAGCTGCTGCCCTGCCCACGGTGCTCCTGCCCAAGGCTGGGCCCTGCAGGCAGGGGCAGAACCCCCTCCCTGGACCGACCTTTCTGCCCCGGCCCTGGGCCGGCCCAGCCTCTCCCTGTGCGCACTCCCCACAGCACAGACCGCACCGGGGCATTTGCTGCGGGGGCCCTGCAGAGCTCCCCCGAGGGAACACCTCCTCTGGGAGGTCACGGCCTATCCTCTCCATTCCGGAATGGCCCCTGGCAACCAAAGAACCAGCGCCCCACAGCCCCACAGTGCAGCCCTACCCCTGTGCCATGGGCCTCCAGGGCTTCCCGTGACAAAGCACCCCCTCCAAACCCTTGTCAGGTACGAAATTGGTTGACAGGGCTCACGGATGCTTTTAGGAAATAGGTACAAGCTTTTCTTGAATACTGGGGGGTCATTTTTTTTTGTTCTTAATCTTTGGAGTTCTCCATTGAGGACAGGATGTCCTAGAGCCTACTGTTGTGCTGCATTTGGAGTGAGAAATCTTTTTCCAAGAAATCCAGATTGCATGTATGATGCACATGTATCAAGTCCCCAGTGCAAAGCCCTCCCCTGATCTTCACCAACACTGCCCATTCTCATCCATCTTTTGGGAAGACAGAGATGTCAGGCTTTAGTTTCTAAATCAGGAACCCTTGAAAAGGTCTGTTTAGGAACTGACAGCAAGATCACTTAGGAGCAACCAGCAAAGGAGTTGGCAGGAACCGTCCAGAGGTACATCCGGTAGAGAGGGGTGAGACCACCAAGGCCTCCCCTTGAGGGGAGGCTCAAAGTGGCCTTTGAGCCACTTCCAGGGGAGAAGTGGAGTGGCACCCCAAAACTGAGTGTCTGGAAGGCTGAGGATTGGGGGAAAATGGGAAAAGGGTGTGTTATGGGTTATAAATCTGAGAGAGGAATTTTTCCCTTCCCCTGCTTTCCCTGTAAGAGAAAACAGAGTTTGAAGGGGGAAGAGAGTTGATTAGCCTTACAAAGGAACTGGCTGATTAATGGGCGATTAACTGCAGTGAGTGGCCGGGGCGGGGGAGCGGGCTGGGGGGGCCGGGCCGGGGGGGTTGGTTCGGGTCGGAGGCGAGGATGCAAGCGGCGTTGTTGGCTCCCTTGGGGCACACAGGCATTTTTGGTGAGGGGGACCGGAGGTCTGGTTTTCTTTTTGGCTGTTCATCCTGGTCAGCTCGACTTCTCATCCTGTTGGCTTCAACCTGCCTGGATGTCCCGCTCCCCGGAGCTGCTGTGCCTCAACGGAGAGTTTGCTTGCCCGTGGGAGAGGAGGGGGAGTTTTTGCTGAGACACCACCACCTGAGACTGCGGTGAGTCCCCGCCACTTGGGACAGCGGTGAGTTCCCATGGGAGTGGACTGCCTGTTTTCCTTTTCGTCCCCACGGAGGCGAGGACCCCCCCCCCATCTCCTCCTCGGCTTCCCCACGCGGTCCGGGACCGCTCCCTCCAGCCCCTCTTCCCACGGGGTGACTGCCGGAGCCCACAGCGCCCCCTGCCGACCACGACCAGGTACTGCAGGTCCTGTACCTTCCAGCGACCCCACAGCGCCCCCTGCCGACCACAACCAGGTACTGCAGGCCCTGCACCTTCCAGCG